GGCTAGCTAGTTTCACTGGTCTAGTGAAGGCCATGGTGGGGAGATTTGAGATTCGGCTAGTGTGGACTCTTCTTTTGTCCATCTTTTTTGTAGGGAGCTGGCTATCGAGTTCGCTTTTGAGAAAAGCCGGTACCCCAGATTTGGCTTGTAGTCTGTTAGTTTATGTATATTTGATATAGGAGAGTTGTTATTAGGTGTGCTCCAGGACCATTCTGTTGGATCTATTTCTAGTTMTTGAATACTTGACTGTGGYTTGAATACCCTGATTCTGTCTCCTTCGATGACCCTTATTCTTCTCAGGGAGTTTGTTAAGAATGATGCTTCTGCCCTGCTTTCTTTGTTGAGATAACTTGATGAGTTACCTGGCTCGTTGAGGACGAAAATGTCGAAGCATATCCATTTGCTGTTTTGGGACTAGTAGGTTTTGAGTTTCAGGACGTCGAATATTGTGTCTGTGTCCATTTTTACTGCCCAATCGCCATATTGCCATTTCAGTTCTGATCTTAGCCGCCGCCTCCATTCTATTGGAATGATCTCGATATCTGATTTATGAAATTTTGAAGGTGGTGGGTACCCTTTAGTACTGGCCTCAGGTCTTTCTGATTTCCACTTGTTGGAAGTTTCCTCCCATAGGTGTTGGACTTCCCACACTCCTCTTTCTACCCAATAACCCCATTTAGCCTCTGTTGAGGCGAGGGGATAAGGTTCTCCTCTCTCGTTTTTTATCCAAGGATTTCCGAAGAGGGGTTGTCGGAGGACTTCGTCTCTTCTTTTCGGGCCAATTCTGTTTTCTGGGAATATGTATCTCGAAGAATGTGAGCCCAGTGTGTTTTGAGAGGTTCATCATTATGGGCTCTGTCTAGGGGAGGGTGTGGATTTTGGTTTCTTTTGCTTTCGGGAAGTGGCCGATGCTTGTTGTAGATCCAGAAGAGTCCTGACATGTTTCGGGGATTTGTATGGGGCCAGTTCTCTAATGTGGTTAAGGGCGAGAGGGGCCCAGTGTATTCTATCCTGGAGGGAGATTCGCAGAATCCACTTTACCTGTAGGGCTTGGATCTGACTAGTTGGGTCTAGAAGGCCCAAACCTCCTTTGGCTGTAGATTGGGTGATTGTTTGCCAGGACATCTTGTGTATGAAGAGGTGGTTGTCGGGATTACCTGTCCAGACGAAGGCCGCTGCCCTTTTTCTGATTTGGCTTTGGAAGTCCGCTGATGGGAACCATATGGAGGTGGCGTACCACATCATGGCTAAAATTGAGTTGTTCAGCGGAAGGACTCTGCCTAACAGCCAAAGTGCTATGGTTCCCTTTTGAAGTTAAATTGATTCCTAGGAAGCGGATCGGGGTGGAAAGGTCTGCCCAGCGCAGCCCCACTGGAGAGAGTTCTGTGGGAGGGGGGGTTTCCAAGAACCACCATCCAATGGTTCTCGGCCAGTTCACCTTCATTTCAAAGGCCAATTGGAAGGCTTGCATTGCTTTTGTTAGTGCTTGGAATGATGAATTGGATGCTCTGATCAGGACTGTGAGATCATCTGCAAATAAGAGAGTGGTAGGATACTAGGGATGTGCAAGGGATGTCCTCTTTCGTCCTTGATGTTCACGAGTCTCTCGATGGATGGGCCTTTTCTTAGGAAGGCTGCTGTGGCTTCCATTACAAAAAGGAAGATTGGTGCTGCTAGTGGATCACCTTGTCTTACCGATCTTGACATTTTGTACGGGTTCCATTACAAAAAGGAAGATTGGTGCTGCTAGTGGATCACCTTGTCTTACCGATCTTGACATTTTGTACGGGTTGCAGAGGAAGCCATTGATTTGGGGCCCAGGGATTCTTTTTCCCAGGCTCTATGGAGGAAGTCTAGGTAGAGGGGGCCGAGTTTGTGCCAGCTCACCATCCAAAATTCTTTGGAAAGGCCATTGTTGCCCGGTGCCTTGTTGGGTTTTAGGTCCTTGAGGGCTGTGTGTAGCTCTTCAATTGTGATGGGAGCGTCCGGACTGCTTGCTGTTTCTGTTGATAGTGTGCGGTCTAGACGGGTGAGAAATTTGGCCCTTGCTCTTGGTGAGTCGTTTTGTCTTCCTGCTGGAGTTTTACTAGTGTACAAGTCTTTGTAGAAGTTGGTAGCTATACTGACTAACTGGGTTGTTTCTGAGGTAGGGTTGCCGTCGTTGTTAATTAAACTTTCTATCCTAGAGTTGGAAAAAAAAAAAAAAAAAAGAGTTGGATTTGATTTTTTGGAAGTAGAATTTAGTCATTCTTTCGTTTAGTTCCCAGTCGTTCATTCTTGCCCTGAGTTGTAGTCCCCTGAGTTTCAGTTTTGTCCATTCTGTTAGTTCTTCTTTTGCCTTGGAATATATTTCTGCGTAGAACTCTGAGTTGGAGTCCCTTTGGAGATTTAATTCGGCTATTTCTATTGCATTTGTAATATTTCTACTCTTTCTTTCCTTTGGGCTGCTAGTTTCCTTGATACTATAGATACGTCATAACTGATGCTCTTTAGGATTTATGGGAATCTGCTGTATATGTCCTCATGCGGTTCAATCCTTGTCTGGGTGTGTAGAATGTTTGTTAGGTCAATCTGGAAGGTTTGGCTAGTTAGGAGAGCATTATTGAAGCAGAAGAAGCTTATGCCTGTGTAGCCCGTTTTGGTGTCCCTGAGGGAGAGTGTGATTGCTTTGTGGTCTAGGCCTTTGTAGTAGGGGTTGTCATTTATTCTGCAATCTAGTATGGCGCCTGAGAGGGAATCCGAGGTAAGAAGTCTATTCTTGAGAAGGAGGTTCTTCCGTAGGAGGTTTTTCTGACGCAGGTGAAACGTTTCGAGTTTGGTGCTAGGAGGCAGTAAGGATCTAATAGGTTTTTCCTTATGATGAAGTCTCCAAGGTCTATGCTGTTGGACTGTGGTAGGATGTCTTGTGAGTTGGAAATCCTGTCAAGGGAGGGATATGGTACAGAATTCCAATCCCCCATTAAGATGGTGTGTGTGTGGCTAGGGATTAGATGCTCCAAGGAGAGAAGGGTTTTTTTTCTTGTGTGGCATTCGGTCCGTATATCCCTAGGATGGCTATATCTTCCTCTTTGAGTTTGATATCTGCTTTAACCCACCTGCCTGCTGTATTGTCCTGGCTTGTGGCTTGAATTGTTATGTGATCGCTTGCGGGAAAGTTCTGATGGAAAAGAATGACTGTCCCTGCTGCGCCATTCGGGGCCGCGTTAGCCCAGATTGCAGATTTAACAAAACGCAGTTTCCTCAGAACTGCAAGTTGGATTCTTTTGTGTTCCTCGATGCTGGTTAGGTGAGTCTCTTGTAGGCATGTTATGTCTGGGGGGTTATGTCCAAACCATTTGATGGTTTCTGTCAGATTCCTCCATTTGATTGGATTGTCGAGAACTGACGCCACTCCATTGATGTTCCATGACGTGATGGTTAGTTCTGGTTGTTTCCTGCTTTCTTTTATGATATCAGCTTCTGTGGTGGGTTCGAGTCTCTTTGGACTGCGCTCGGCCCCTCTATTTGGGGAACCATCCGGTGTGATTTCCATTGCACTGAGGGATGGTTGTCCTCAATTAGGGGCTGGTCATGTGATTAGGAGGTAGTGGCAGCGGTTCTTCTCTCCTCCCTCTTCTCCCTTTCCCTCTTTGCTTTCTCCAACAGCTCCGCCTCACTGCTGCCCAGCCATTCCTGTCTGATGAAGGCAGCCATGCTGTATGAAATTCTGTCCACCTCGTCCTTGTGTCCCAGGAGATGATATGGGATTTCGCAGATCAGCTCCCAAGGTTTCCATTGTAAGTCGTCCTTCAGGATGGTCTGCTGGTCGTAGATCGCCATGATCGGGCTCGAGTCCCTGTAGTGAGATGCTCCATTGTCATCTTCCCATACCACGTCCAGGCTCTTGTCTGGCCCAGACTAACTCGAGTACACCTATTTTCTCACCAACGAACATTTCACCTTCTGAGGCGTTCTGGGCCCAGACATGCTTTTTATGAAACAAACACATATTTGTGCTGTGTTCGGCATCTGCAACGTCTTTTTTCATAGAGTCTTCTAGGCGGAAATTAGGCCCTTTTTCAATTTTCCTGATTTCCGGATATCTGCCCAAACGTGCCGATCTGGAAACAAAACTGCCTGGAACAAACGACCTTCTCTCTTTCATACAGGCTCACACTCCTGCAAGAAACCTTCACATCGGCACTGTTGTGCCAAGTGTCCACAGAGGTCTCCAGAACAGTTCCGGAAGTTTGGGGCCCAGTAGCAAGAACAGGTCGAGTTTAGAAGAGTCCAGAAGAGTCCAGACCAGTAGCTAGGCTCCCGGTAGGTTAGAGGAGTCCAGAAGAGTTCACTCCAGTAGTTAAGCTTTCGGTCCACTCCAGTTCAGTCCAATTCAGTCCAGTCTCGCGGCGCAGGGTCCACTCCAGTTCAGTCCAATTCAGTCCAGTCTCGCGGCTGGGTTCCAGGAAACTCTGTGAATACTCCACAAAACGTCGAAGGCCAACAGAACAAGCAAGCAGCCTACCAGGTACTGGGCCCATATGTCAAGGGGCTGGAGGGGGGGGAACCTGAATCATCACGTGTGAAGGTACAGCAGGGTGCCGTTCAAATCCATTCCTCGGGTGCTTGCTGCAGTGTAACACGTGCCTAGTGTAACATAGGCAAGAATGGGAGGCTGAGTAGTTGTAGTCAACAGGCGCCTGGCGCTATAGCTGTACTGTAACATAGGCAAGGAAGACATTTTCACACACACACACACACACACACACACACATATGCACACACACACGCACACACACACACACACACATACGCACACACACACACACACACACACACACACACACACACACAGAGAGAGAGAGAGAGAGAGAGAGAGAGAGAGANAGAGAGAGAGAGAGAGAGAGAGAGAGAGAGAGAGAGAGAGAGAGAGAGAGAGAGCTTGAGGGTCAAGAGTGGGCGTTCATACTTGGTTGTTGTTTGCTGGTGGGCACAGCCACCCAGCTTGGTGCATACAAGCTTGTTATATAAGACCTTGATTTCCAGGTAATTTTGAGCTCTCATATCTCATGCTTTGGTTGTCACCTCTATGTGCTGAAGCTTGTCTCCCCCTGTGACATGAGATGCTGGTTTGAGGACTGGGCTCACTGCAATACATTGATAATTTTTGACTTATTGACTTATTTCCAGCAGAAAAATTCACAGAAATGGTCCGACCATATTTACAGCATTCTGACCAGCATAGCACGACTACTCTGGCTTCAGATGCCTCCCCCCAACCCCCAACCAACATACTCCTAACAGAGCACAAGAACAATGACCATGACTCACGAGAGTGCCTGCACAGCTGCTGGCCGAAGTCCCATGGTTCCCGCTGCATTGCTTGTCGCGTCGCTTGCCACCCCTCCCCACAAGCATTTGATATTACGGCAATGCTTGAGCATATCCAGGGCATCTTGTTTGCGACCCCGTGAGAGTTCTACATATACAACAGCTAAAATAGCTAGAGGATTCGTTGGAGAAACTTTCAATGCTTGCAAGGCACATTGCTGCGCCTGTAGCAGCTCACCTTGCATTGCATATACTGCTGCAAGGTTGACATACAGTGATGCATGAGATGTCGTTCCTGACAGAGCGCCTGGTATATCCCCAGCATTGGCAGTACCACTACTGGCAATACCACCTCCTGCCGCAGAGCTAGCAGAGCTCCTCCTTCCAGTTCCTGTTGTGATATCACTGCCATCTGTGCTGGCCTCGCCGTATTCAACGGTTCTCCACTTCTGTCCATTCTCCTCCTCCGTTTCCACATTTCCACAGTTGGAACCCTGTGTTGTATCCATTGAGTTTGTGTGTTCGAGCATGCATGTCGTCAGATGCTCTGCAGCCACAGTGGGCCGATCAAGCATGCACAATGCCTCAGCTGCATACATGTGACCCAGAAAGGAGTACTGCGGACAACATCCTTGAATCCGCAAGAGGCGCTCAGCCGCAGCCAAGGATGCAACTGGGTTCTCCAACACGAGTTCTACGTAAGCAAGATTTGCCAGAATACACTGTTGAACCGTGGAGCACTCCATTCTCCTCTCATCCTCATGAACAGCTACAGCAGACGCAATGACGGTCACTGCTGAAGGTACTGATGGAGCGACGGCTCCGCCTTCACCGTCTTTAGATTCTGCGCTGGGTGCCACACTGCCTGCCCGCCGATCAACTGTGCCAGATGTACTCTTCCGGCTGCCACCACTCTGTTGATGCTGCATGCCTTGCAGCTGGTGCTGTTGTCCTCCGTGTATGCACGCACTAGCATTCTGCCCAACACTCCCAGAATCTGCGTCTGGAAGTGCCACAGCTGCAGCTGCTGCATTCGCTGTTGAATCAAGCTGATCAAGTAGAGTGAGCGCATTCCTCAGACAGTGGCTTGCATATTCCAGAGAGGGCTCCTGTCGTACATCCCACAAACAACTGTTCCTGCCTGGCCCCACAGGGCCACTTGCACCCTCTTCAGGCCCCTGCCCTTGTTGTGGTGGTGCTTTGCTCCATTTGGGAGGAAAGACCCCAGCAGCTGTTGCCTTTACACCTCCTCCACCCGTTCCTGGTCTTCCTCCCTCTCCTTGTGCACTTCCTACACCTTCCGGTAGTCCTCCTTCTCCTGCAGTTTCTGCTACGTGAAAATCTGGGTTCCCTGCCTTAGCTCCTCCTCCGCTGCCAAGGCCCCCTGTAGGCAACAACACCTGACGCCAACGTTCCTCCCCAACAATGCGCAGAATCACTTCCTCTCTCCCTCTTGCTCTGCCTTGCTCTCTCTTTCTGTCTTCCAGCAAGCCTTTGGCATGTGAGCTGATACAACACTCAGCCAGCCGGAGCCACAACAACGGTCGGTTGTAGAACATCCTCACAGACTCCTGGAAGCACCGAAATCCCACCAGCGGATTGCCCAGGTACAGTTGCTGTATGCCCATATTACAAAGAACATGCAGTGTTTTGTCCTTCGCAAAAGATCTCACACACAAAGGCCTATCTGCCCCCACCGCCATGTAATTCTCCAGTGCTTTCACAAAGTACGCAGCAGCGATATTGTGCTTCCCAAGCCTAAAATGGATGCACCCCAAATTGGACAGCAACATTGCAGTGCTCCCCTTGTCCAGATGAGCACCTGCAACCCCTGCCAAGACTGACGCGGCATCCCCAGGTGACCCCCCACCACAGAAACAAGTTGTTAGCAGCTTAATTGCCTTCCGGAAATTTCCTCGGCAATACTCAAGCTGTGCCTTCAGCACCAGCGCTGGCATGTGGTCCCGGATGAGATTCAATGCAAGCTTCACTTCCCTCTTTGTTGCCTTGAGGTTTCGCACCAGCATTAGCAGACGAGCTCTGTACATGTGGAGGTTTAGCTCATGGATTCCAGATGGGACAGACTCTTTGTGATCCCTCTCTGATGAGGTTCCCCTTATGCCTGATGAGACACCTGACGATGGCAAAGCTGTGGGTCCACACGAAGCACTGCCCACACTTCCCGGTTGAGATCCCAGGCCACCACCACCATGAAGATCAAGGGAGGTCACAGCATCTTCCTCTATGCCAACATCATACATGGCCCCACCACCTTTCACTCCAAGTTCACAGTCCGTTGGAAATGATGCATTCGGACCAGTACTCGACAATGGTGTGACAACTCCAATCCGCTCTGACGTTGTCAGCAGTGAGTCCCCTCCTGATGAACCTGAGCTGGCAGGCAAGACACCAGTGCATTGGCTAGATGCCCCACTCAAAGCAGCATCACCTTCACAGCGTGCCAAAACCTTTTCAGCATAATCAAGAAGAGGCTGCAAGACACAGTAGGCAAAAAGAAATCACATACCTGACCAGTCAGAGAATCAGATTTTCCCTGCACTTATCCGATGCACATAGGGCAAATCGCCTTCCAGTAGATGAGCTGCTGCACTTATCCGATGCACATAGGGCAAATCGCTTCGATTGCAAGAAAAACAAGACAAAAGTTGCACACAGAATAAAATGGGAAAAATCATGGCCCTCTCTCTCTCTCTCTCTCTCTCTCTCTCTCWCACACACACACACACACACACACACACACACACACACACACATACCATAAAGGTGCAGACCAGAACAAGAACCAACCTCTCTCACATAGTACAATAGCACAGCGGAAGGCTTAAATACCAATGATCCGAACAATCAATGTTGCCATGCAGACCGGACATGCATCATCATCATTCCATGGTGTGAAGGGGCCTGGCGCTCACACAGGAAGAATGCGCCAGTCCCCAGCCATACACAGACGAAGAAGAGGGGGGTTGACGAAGAAGAGGTGAAGATGGGAATGTTGTCAACACCAAGTCTTCAGTACACGTCCCAAATAATCCCTCATCAAATGTCTGAATCCCAATGTCGAGTCTGGACCCAAGTGTCGTCAAGTCCCAAAGTCACCAATCTCTCTCTCTCTCTCTCTCTCTCTCTCTCTCTCTCGYAGTCTGCAGATACTGAGAAGTCAGGTAGCGAGAGGGGGAGGAGGAGATGGTAGACTTAGAAGAGGAAGAAGAAGAACTCTCTCTCTCTCTCTCTCTCTCTCTCTCTCTCTCTCTCTCTCTCTCTCTCTCAGTCCGGTACTAACCTGTGAAGGTGGCGCCCTGTTGCAGGTACATCGAAGACGAAGCTGGAGCTATGGCGCCACAGGTAAGTCTCCCTGGCCTCCGCCAACCATCTCTCTCTCTCCACTGCTATAGCTCCTGATAGCGCCCAGCGCTGAAGACTACTGCTAACGCTACTACTACTACCGCAGTGCTCCTCCAGAGTGCTGCTGCTGAATCCTGAAGACTGCCTCCTGCCTCCTGCACGTGAAGTGCCTGGGAAGTTCCTATGAACTACCTCATGACTGTCTGCAGCCTGTAGGGCGGGCCAGTCTTATATAGTGCTGGCCCGTCCAGGAGGCTGCTCTTGCCAATGCCAAAACGTGCCAGACCCTGGCGTTGAAGTTCAAACAAGGGCTGTCTTGAAAACAGGCCAAAAATGGCCTGTGCTAAAACCCTGGGCTGGTGCCTAAGTTTCAGGGCAGGTCAATCTTGTGAGGGCCTGAAAATGGCCCTCCGTTTCAGGCTGAAAAGACTCAGGGCCTGGAGGGCCCTGTTTTAGGCTGAAAACGCTGGTCGGGCCCTGCAGGCTCGTGTGGCTGCGCAGTATGCCACACCCCCGCTCCTTGAAAGACCGAACTTACCTGCGAGGGCGAAGCTGTCTGTCCAGGTGGGAGGGGCAGGTCGTGAAGCTCCCTTAGCTAACCTTGTCGTTCGTAGTGAGCGTAGATCAGCAGTGCGGATGCTTTCAAATCTGCTCCTGAAATCCATCGAGTGTCGTCGGGATCGCATGCTTTGAAGGTAACTTTGTACTGTCCAGGCTTGCTGCCGTACTTGCGATCCGTGATGACGCGGTCAACTTCCTGATGACCATCCATAGATGGAGGGTCTTGCGATCGTCGGCCCGGGAAGTCGTCACTCTTAGCTGGTGTGTATGTCGCCAGCTTCGAGGAGTGAAAGACTAGATGGACCATCAGATGCGGGGGAATGTTGATCCCAAATGAGGGGCCATCGGGCTCATCGCCCGCGGCTGATGTTACGGGCCATGGTCCAAACCCCTTGGAAAGCAGTTTGCGAGAAACATCCTGCTCGACTGCAAACTCTTTCGCGGAGCCCCACACCACATCACCTCCGCGGATGGGACATGGCACGCGACGCCTGTTGGCTTGCTGCTGCATTCGGTTTGAGCCTTTTGCATGTTCGCGCGGGCTTGAGCCAGCAATTTCCTGTACTTCCGGACAGAAGCCGGGGAGCAAGTGGCGTCAATGTCAGTTGTTCGTGGGAGGAGAAGATCAGCAAAGATAAGGCCTTTTCGACCACCGTGGTGCAACTCAAATGGAATCACGCCGATCGCCAGATGCAACGAAGTGTTGTAGGCGAACTCGATGTCGGGGAGGAGGTCAACCCAATCCTTCTGATCCGGACGGATGAGCGTACGAAGCATCATTTGAGCGGTTTGATGTGCCCGCTCCGTTTGCCGGTCCGTTTGTGGATGCCGAGCCGAACTTGGTTTCATCTTGGTGTCGGATTCCTGCATGAGAGAAGTCCAGAATGCTGACATGAAGCGAGTGTCGCGATTGCTGACGATGTCTTCCGGTACGCCGTGGCTGCAAATCCAGCCGGTGTGCAAGACGCGCGCAAGTTCGGGAGTTGTGGCGTAGTACTTGCAAGGGAGAAATCGCGCGTACTTACTCAAACGGTCAACGACCGTGAGGATGCCATCGTGCCCGAGGCGATCGCGGGGAAACGGACCGGTAACGTCCATGGCAATGGAGACGTCGGGTTCCCGTGGGATAGGCATCGAGCGCAACTCGCCGTAGGGATTGCGGTTGCGGGGCTTGCTTCGTCGGCAAACTTCACAAGAGTCGCAATACCGAGAACATCGGTAATGAGGTCAGGCCATCGGAAGCGTTGTCGAAGTCGTGCAATAGTGCGATTGACTCCGAAATGGCCGGCGAGTCGCGAGTCATGGTACTCACCGAGAAGGCGAGTCCGACGACGACGGTCTTGTGGGACACACAATAAGTCTGTGCCTCGCGAGTGGAGGAGCAAGTACCCGTCGATGATGCGATAGTGGCTGGCCGGCGGGTGATCCGAAGATAGCTGCGCATACAACGTGGCAAAATCTGGATCACACTCATAGCCTCGGATGAAATGTCGCTGGAGTTCCTCGTCGAATGCGAAGGCATGATGTGTCATAGCGCAAAGATCGGGTCTTCGCGAGAGTGCATCTGCTGCGCGATTGGAGAGGCCGGCGAGATGTTTCGGTGTGAAGGCAAATTGGTCGATGAAGTACATCCATCGTCCAATTGTGCTGCTCACCGTATCCTGCGTCTTGTAGTAGGTCAACGGGTTGTTGTCCGTGACCCATGTGAACCTACGACGCCCAAGGAGGAAGTGCCACCATCGCTTGAGAGCCATTACGAAAGCGAGCAGCTCCTTCTTCCTTGCATCATCAAGTGAATTCATGGGAGGCACTCTGTGGCTGAAATACTCCACAGGGTGTCAGTCGTTGCCGTCATGTTGTTCCAAGACTGCCCCAATGCCATAGCCGGAAGCGTTAGTTGTCACTCTCGTTGGCAGGGTGGGGTCATAGATGCTAAGGACGGGTGCCATGAGCATGGTCATCTTGAGTGCTTGGAATGACCGGTGTGCGTTGTCATCGAATACGAATGGCACCTTTGGCGATTGTAATCTCGTCATAGGTGCGGCAATCCTTGAGTACCCGTTGATGAAGCGTTGATAGTAGTCCGCCAACCCCATGAATGACCGAACGTCCGTGGTGTTGGTGGGCTCGGGCCCTACGCGGATGGCCTCGATCTTGTCCGCAAGTGGACGGATGCCTTGCGGCGTCACCCCAAGTACTCAAGCTCTTGCCGCGCGAATTCACATTTGTCGCGGTTGGCTTTGCACTTGGCTTGTCGTAGCCGCTCCAAAACGGTGCGCAGGTGCTCCACATGCTCGTCCAAACTCCGGCTGTACACCAATATGTCGTCGAGGTAGATGAGTTCGAATCTATCCAGAATGTGTCAGGACTCCGTTGTCATAGCCACTTGGAATGTGGTCGGGGCATTCGTAAGGCCAAAAGGAATAACCAGCCATTTGAAATGCCCATATCGGATTCTAAACGTGGTCTGGTAGCGGCCCTCTTGCCGGATCTCGAGTTGGTGATATCCCGATTTGAGGTCAAGCTTGGAGAAGAACTTGGCACCGCCCAGCCGTTCGAGGAGGTCGTCGATGCGCGGAAAAGGGCCGGCGTTCTTGACGGTTTGTGTGTTGAGCTTGCGATAATCGATGCACAACCGCAAATCCTTGTTCTTCTTCCGAACGAAGAAAACGGGAGCACCGTATGGCGAAGAGCCAGGCCGAATCCAGCCTTTCTCGAGAAGGTCGTCGAGTTGTGCCCGTAGCACACTTAACTCTTCCTCGCTCATGCGGTAGATGCAACCACGTGGAGGTACGGCCTCGACCTCGCACAGTTTAGGTACATAAGACATGATTTGTCTGAACAAATTACAATGACGTATGCCTAAGCCGCCTAGCTTAAGGGTACGCTTAGCCTCCGTACCGGCAATATAGATGAACAACCATAGATATACTTGCACAAACTTTATATGTTTCTCTCTTATTAGGCAGATAATCAGACCTACCCAACTTAGGGAGACATCCAATCCTGCCTTGTGTTTAGAAGGGAAAATAAAACAAATTTATACTAACTCTCTGACTCCTTTGTATTATCACGAGCATAAGACTGAATCGCCCTAACTTAAGGGTACGCTCAGCCTGCCCAGGTTACCTTCATTATATTCTTCATTTGCCTCTCTCTGCTTTCTGCTCTACCTGACTTACTGACTGGCTTTCCAAACTTAGGGTGCCCAGTCTGCCACATAATATAGGTTCGTATAATATATATCAAAACTTTATACTTTGGTTGACCGTTTCGTTCATGGCTTATGACAGAGCCGCCCTACCTTAAGGGTACGCTCAACCTTATACTTGTGTCCCCCTCAGAAGAAAACACACAAAACTGGGTCCACGCAACTTAAGAGTATTCCCAGCTCTGTTTTGAGCAACCCACAAAAAGAAACAGCAAGATTCTGAGCCTTCCCAACTTCGGGTGCCCGTCCTCCTGTTCAGAAACCCCAGAAAAAAAACAGCGACTAAGAGTAAGAGGGATAGATTTAGATAATTTAGACACTCAGATACAAGAGAGGTGCACTCAGACTCACGATGAGAGGGCTTTGAAATTTGGGTGCGCCTGAGGGCCCCGCAATGGTGGCCAAAAGCCTCAGCAATACGGCCAGACCGAAGTCCAAACACAGAATGCCGATCCCCTCTAACAGACCTCTACACCGCCGCAACGCCCCCCTCTATATAGCCTGGTCATCTCTCCCAAGGCCATACTACCGTTTCCTCGACCATAATGTTGCCAAGCAGCCTAGAAAGGCCCTGTTCGAGTTTGACACATCCCCTGTGCTCTACCCGGAACGTAATAATATCCAGCAAAACGCAATGGTTCTTTCTGGCAGTAAAAACAAGGTCGGCGTAGCGAAAGCATAGCGACCACAACGTTGAAGTCTATAGTAACAGCAGCAGAATCCGCGCGACAACGAGAAACGCGTGGTCAACACAGTGATGTTGCAAAGCACGACAACTTGTAAGCAAAACAAAGCAGGGTGCATAGTAAAGGCGTAGTCAAAAACCACTCATGCACGGATTTGTACCCAGCAAGATACTCAACATGCAACAGTGTCCGCAAGCAGCAACAATCATCAGCAGCAACAGGTGCAATCTGTACAGTGCCCTGCAAATGCCAACGGTGAACCTATTGCCGTGGACGGTTATAAGCAAAGCTCAGGCATGTGTCAATCATGTAAACTGTTTGCCATGACTAGGTACGCTCTCTCACAACTTACATTCACATATGAACACAAGTCGATTATGTTTCTGACACCTCTAGCTTCAAATCCTGAAAAGCTAAAGGATAGAAGGCCCATGCCCACACAGTTCGCTTTCGCGCCGGAAATCAGAACCAACCGAGTTCCTATCGTGTTGTCTTACACGAGGTTTCTGTTCTGGTTGAGCTCCCTTACGACGCCCGCGTTTTCTTCCGACATTTGTGACGTCTCGAGTCAGGTAACCAGCAACTATTCTGCTTAGCCATCGGTGGCAGTAACCTCAAACGATCGCTCTAGTCAGAGTCTGTTCCTTGCTTGTCAGTACTGACCACGACTCAGAGTGCAGACGTCGGGCTTTGAAAAACATAGGTCAGTAACAAGGTGTAGGAACAACAGCCTTGATGCAGCGGTAAAACTACAGTAGCACCAATACTGCCCGGCAGCAAGGTACCGTCGCTGAGGCCATGCAGTTTTGTTATTGCAAGGACAACCCGTCGTCACTAATGAGGAGACCGGGCATGCACCACCACCCACATAATCAAGAAAAGAGCTCTCGATCTGTCAATCCTTACTATGCCTGGACCAGGTGAGTTTCCAACCGCAATGTGCGAGCATACCACATAGTCCAACACCACTCGTTGTTATCCGCTCACCCCATTTGGCTGCGACACAACACTCACCAGCTCCCCTTCCGTCCACCAGCCCTACCTCCTCTCCTGCTAGGCACACGTAGATCGGGAGCAGACAAAGGACCATGAAGCCGATCCACAACGTACTCAAGGGAGGGGATTTAATCACGGAGTTGGAGGTGACATGGGTGGTGGCGGCCATGCCGAGCAAAAATCACACTTCGAGCAGCCCAATCACAGAGGTTGTGACGATGAAGTATCACAGCCGGACGTGTTAGTGTGATAATGAACACAACTTCGGTCAACGTTATAATGATGACGAGCATAGGAATGAAAACCAGTGGGAGAATCAGCGTCTCGCTGCAGCATGCACCTCAGGAGTACCTTGCATGCAGATCGTAACAGCGGACAGCATGGAGACCAACGCTGTGGTGACGGGTTGGGGTGTGCAGCCTCGGTCGTCCCCGGCTACTCACTGAGTACTGAAAAAGGAGAATGAATCTTCCGCTAGAACATGGGAAGATACATGCAAGAATAAAAACAAGAAAAGAAATGAAATTCCTGCTAACGTGGACAGGTGCATTTGCTTCGTACCCTGCAGTTCCACTCACCCCCGACCAGGTACGTAGCTCTGCCCCCCTTCTCTCTCTCTCTCTCTCTCTCTCTAGGCTGTAGATATTCAACACCACAGCCCCTATGCCACCCACATGAGTAGATCCAAAAACCATGACGCTTGACCCCTATTCCAGACAATTAAGCACAATAATGAAGCAGCTTACCTCTATAGTAAGCTACACGGAGCAGAATCAGCAGATTGAGATGATCATCACTTAGCCAAATCACAGCATTCCCCGTGCATAACAACTGTCATTCGAATTCATATGATGACCGCAGAACAGGATCAGCGGCCTTAGACCACGAGTACGGCCAGGCCTCCATTCCCCATTGCTAGAGCTGTCTCTTATACACATCTAGATGTGTATAAGAGACAGCATATGATGACCGCAGAACAGGATCAGCGGCCTTAGACCACGAGTACGGCCAGGCCTCCATTCCCCATTGCTAGAGGGCAACCAAACCACAGCGCAGCGACGACCTGCTGGTGGCTGCCGTTTTTTTTTTTTTTTTTTTTTTTTTTTTTTTACTTTTCAACACGTAGGTTGAACTTGACCCCAACAGGTGTTAACCGGCACAGGCCGCGTGTATTGGCCCCGCTTACGCGTCGTTTCAGTGGGGCTAGAGACCTCATCGTCATTGTGTGTTGAAGACCAAACACCATTCTCTCGCGTGCTCAGTAGAGTCATTGTGTGTTGAAGACCAAACACCATTCTCTCGCGTACTAACTTACAAAGATAGGGGCGATGCATGCTGAATTACAAAGATTGATCATCCATCTATCGGTTCAGAGATTGATTAATTTAAGTCGTCACCGTACAACGGCAGATTCAAGGTCGTGATCGTAAATCTTGCCTTTGCCTACTTGGTTGAACCGGTCGTGTTAGCAATGGGGAGCATTCGTATACTAGAGGCAGACGCTCACGCACACACAGAGAGGGAGATTGGCTCCCAGCTTGAGTCCGGGAGAACACACTGCACTATGCATTTTTTTTTCTTTCCTGATTGTGTCGATCTGCCGGCCTTCTCTTTCACTGAGCGAGACGTGTGGCCATGATCGCTGTATTCGGGGCTACTTTTTGGACCTGATACAGATGCAGCTACACTGCCCTTGCTTGTATCCCAGAAGTATCACTGTTAGGAATGAGCACCACGGCCAAGAGGGCAGCCACCCCTTTTGCGAGGACGACCAGCACCGGGAAGCGCACTGTGAGTCATGTTGCGAAGATGGGGAACAGGGCGCCAACGCAGATGACGAGCATAGACGCAGTGGCCACGACGATAATAAGCCAAACAACTCGATCATAACAGCGACAGACTCGAAGAGCAATAAGAGATCGAGGATGGTGGCACACAACCACGATCATGCTCCCCCTACTCACCAATGGT